TTATGTTGCATTAGGTCGAGATATTCATACCTTGAATAATCATCTATGAAAGAGATGAAATATTCATATCCTCCCCTGGTTTTAACATTCATCGGACCACAAAGGTCTGAATGTACAAGCTCTAAGGGTTCTTTGGCTCTATAACCTTTTCCAGTAAAAGGTCTTTTAGTCATCTTGCCTTCAAGACAAAATCACATGGAGGTAAGGAGTGATCTTCTAACTCACTTAGAAGTCCACTCTTAATCAATCTCTCAATCCTATTGAGATTTATGTGACCTATTTAAAGATTGCCTATTTCATGGTCCGGTCTTATACAAACTCATTGTATAGGATACCCCCACTCGCATGTCTCCACTCGAACGACCTGGATCAAGTCATTTGTAACTATTACAAAGTGGGTCGAATCCATAGTGTTACCAGGATAAGGTATCCGACCTTATCCATATACTATAGACCCTTTAGATTACTATTGGAACATTATTCACCTGTATATCAAATATATACTGTATATATACACACTGTATATCAAATATATATGCTGTATATTAAATATATACTGTATATCTGTTATATACTATTCCAGTTACATGACATAACCTCGGATGTTAGTTTATTGCATTTGGGTTAATGCAATTTTATCAATAACAACTTTATTGAATGATATTTGTTTTATGTTTACAAACCACGAGTTTAGGGCATAAAACCCAACAAAAACAACCGCTGAAATTTAGAGAGAACTTCAATTTATTAGTTTGCCAACTATTACATTTCGTTTCAACAAGAAAAACAATTTGAGGTTTTTGTGACGAATAAAGTCACATATAACTCTAAATGTCTCATCCTCCTAGCCACCTACCTACTCGTGCTCGTAGCTCGATCGGAGGTCGAGTTCGCCCTCGAGCTTTTAATAGTCAGGGGCGGATCTACCGCCCTACCTAAGTCAATCATCATATCGGTCCCTAGGCCCCATTGCTGGAAAGGCTCGGCTTCAAAACCGTACGTGGAGCTTCCGCCTCATACGGCTCCTCTAGGAATGGAGGTGGCGAATCGAAGTCACTTTCGGAACCATACTTCCTACAGCTAACACGTGTCCTGGGATCCCTCAATCCACGACATTCCAACATAGTGTTTTCATGGCTCCTGACGAGACTGTTGAGCAGCCTTTGCCAATATCGAAAGGGAAGAGACAAGATCATCTTTCACTGCTTGTTTCTGCTTCTTAGGGTCAGATTTTGTCGAAAAGTGTATCATAGTTGGTTGCAATAATAGGATCACTCGAAAAGTTGGTGGACATAATATTTTTGTGGACCCGAGAGGGAGGGTATATTTGATTGTTGTTTAATTTGTTATTGATAAGATGAAAAATACACTCATGTTTTATATAATTATTTTACATTTTATTAATTTATTATGTTTAAATATTTGAATTTAATTATAATTTTACATTTTATGACAAATTGAAGATATTCAAAAATAAGAATTTAAAAGTGCAATTTTAGAGGATAATGTGTGTTTCACAAAATTTGGGAGAGCTCAACAGATAAAAAATAGACGTAATTATTATGGCGAGACGCTCAAATTGAGAATAATGGAATTTTAGGATATTTTGTAAATAAATAGATATAATCAAATTAGGAAATATAATCCTAAATTGACTAGAAACTTTTTTATTTAATTTATTTTCTTTTAAATATAATTTTTCCAATTAATTAGGAATTACAGATAATTTTTTTTAAAAGAGGACAAAATTAATATCTAGAGGAGCCTTGTTGGAACATATATCATCCCAGTTACAACAAAAGTTTTTCTCGTAAACTCAAAGCTTCTTCATCTACCATGATTGGCTAGGATTTAATTCTTCAAATTCAAGGGTGATTCAAGTTCGATTGTAAGTTTGGGAGGCTCGAGTTAGATTGAGATTTCTTCTTTTTTAAGTATTTTTTGTTTGTTTGTTTGTTTTTTAGTACAAAATAAAAATAAAAATAAAATCTTTGTTTCTTGTTCTTATTGTTTATGAATAGTTTATATTAATTAAATTGACTCCTTAACTCATATTAATTGTTCTACTGTTACTCAACCCATGAGTTTGTGATCAAATAAGTAATAAGGACTTGACTTATGCGTGTGTATTTATGACTTTTCCATGTTACATAGTTTGCATAATATAATCTAGGAAAACAAAGGGAAAAAATTAATTAACTTGCGGCTATCTCAAATTAATTAATTTTGGTTTAGACATTCCTATTATCTTGATGCTATTATTTGATTAATATGAAATGCTATCACGCCCAATTGATTAATTAATAAGATTTAATTTTGATGCTTGGTCTAAATTAATTAAATTAAGAGAACTAAAACTTACCATGGTTCCGAGTAGGTAGACTAAGTTCTTGAATTAAGAAATCAATAGCCTATGATCAAGATTACAATTGGATAAAAATCACACATTTTGATTGGAATTGGAAGTTTGGTAAGGATTAACTTTTGTTTTCCTTTTACTTTCTATTGAAATTCGACTTGGTCTCACTACATCAGTAATTATTTTGGAAGGTCTGGACAACCCTACAAGTCATGTTTTTAATTTATATCTATTATATTTTATTTGATGTTATTTATTTTTGTTGTTTAATTTTGTCCAAGTATTTAATGTGTTTACATAAACTATCATTTAATATAATAATGGTTAAAAATCACATTGGGTCCCTTAAAGTAACGATTTGATCCTTGTGCTTTCAAAAGTAACTACATGTACAATTTAACGGAAGTATGACATGGCTGATCTATGTGTACAACTTCATATTGGTTGAATCTTAGTCCGGATTAGGGCATAAAAAAGAAAAATGAATGGTCATCTTCTTCCCATGCATTCTTGTTCTTGACCCATTTGAAGCTGGGTGTGTCCGCCATTAGTGTTGTTCCCCCAACCAAATCGCCACCGACATTGAGATCTTGCACATCATCTCTCCTCGCCATGGTCGAACTGAGCAGAGGATCCTTCGGTTGGCTTTCTCGGCCAGAGTAGAAGAAGAGGGCAATTGCGAGTAATTTGTGGGCTTCCTGATGAGACTGAGATTTCATAGTATGTCAAATCGACGGGAATTGATGTGACATCGACGCTGAAGAATGATCGGTGTTCCAAAATGTGAGTTTCATAGTGGAATTTACAGAGGCCAGGTTAGTGGCGACGGTGATGAAATCGGAACAGTAATGCTCTGCAATTGAAGGAAATTGGAAATGAAATAACAATAGTGAAATGGAACTTTCATTGTGATTTTAGGCTTCATCGACTTACAAAAAACATAAAATGAAAGCAGGAACATGGCAGCGACGAGGGAGAAACTTGCCAGAATCCTTTGCTTCAATTCGACCATGGCGAGGTGGGAGGAGAAGGAGGAGGTGGAGTATCTCTATGTGGTGGCGATTGGTCGGAGAGTTTTCAGGTCCCGACGATTTGAGAGTTTGAGAACTCATTGTGAAGAGCGGTTCAAATTGGTTTGATCTTTCCCAATTATCCTGGCCGGAACTTGTACGCAGCACTTGTACGGGGGTGCATGCATAAAGGTTTGGAACTCGAATCTTATCTTCATCTTAAGGACAGGACCCTACCCTATTCTCGAACTCTCCGCCGAGCTTCACCCAGCCCGCATTTCCTTTTGAAGGGGGCCAAAGAAATGTCTCCACCAGCTGCCAACAGTCTTTCTTCGGAATTCTACTGAACGGGTCGATCCTCCCCTCCCGTTTGTTTGAACACGAATGGCGGACACACCCATTCGGAGCTTCAAATGAGTCCAGAATGCAGGTGAAGAAGAGCATAGTTGGCCTTTGATTTGTACACATACACCAGTCATATTTTCGTTAAATCTAACCTAATTTTTAATAACAGGAACTAAATTGTAATCAAATTTAAAGTATATGCACTAAATCGATACTTTTAAAAGTGCAGGAACCAAAAAATACAAATGTGATTTTTAACCTATAACTATTTATTGTTGTAAGATTAACTTGTATCCATATTAATTACATAAATTATTGTTATCAAATTATAACTACAAATTGTACAGATTATATCTGGTTAAATCTTTAACACAAAATCATTTTCAATTTTATTAAATTTATAAAGAAACTTTAAAACAAATAAAATCTTAAATACATATAAAAACAATATTTATGCGAGTATACGTTTATTGATATAAAACTTTTTTATTTTATCTTGAGCCCTCATTTTTTTTTCTTATTGGACGATGTTCATTCAATGTACCAAGATCAACTAGCTTGCCATTTGCATCTTTCTCTCGAAGATGGTAATACTAAGAAATTTATTTTACTCTTACTCTCGCTCTAGGTGATACAATACTTTCGTTCTAAGTGATATATCTCTCTTGCCCAAGGTGATATGTACCGTACATCATCATAACATAACGAACACCTCGACCTAGATTTAGGAGAAACGAAAAACCCGAAAACAAAAATCAATCGGTTTAATTTGGTTAAAATAAACTTAGTGACAACAATGAAAATAGAGTACAAGTACCGCTAGATTTAGAATGAACGAAACATCCAAAAACCAAAATCAATCATAGGGTAGTGAATGACAAAAAAGCGAACGAAAGGGCATGCAAATAAACTCAATAGGAACAAAAAACTCAAACGAAATCAATGGTAACGAAAAACCCAA